TTCTGGCCTCCTCAGGCACACCACAGCACACTCATACACATCATACAAACACACACATCATAAACATGCACACTGCAACACACTCATACACACATCATACAAACACACACATCATAAACATGCACACTGCAATACACTCATACACACATCATACAAACACAAAAAAGCACATAAAGCCAATGATAAATTAAAAACTAACAGCAAGGTGGTTGCACACGCCTTTAATCCCAGCACTCGGGAGGTAGAGGCAGGCAGATCTCTAAATTCGAGGCCAGCTTGGTCTACAGAGCAAGTGCCAGGACAGCCAGGGCTACACAGAGAAATCCTATCTCAAACAAACCAAAACCAAACAAAAAAGAAGTGAATGGGGCAACTGCGGATAATTCTATTAAGGGAATTAAGTCACTCTCAGAAAGACAAATACCTTGTTTTCTCTCATTTGTGATCCTGCAATTTAGATACACTAAAATCACAGATATACATAGATCTACACTGATGACAGAAGTAGAAATGAAATTGTCCAGGGAACAGAGAACAAAATAATGCTGGAAAATATGCTCAAAACACATTATACATGTGCAGCTTTCCATAATATTGCATAATCATTTTTAAAAAGACATACAAAAAAGTAGGGTTTTTTTTCCTAGAATAGAAAAGAGTACTTAAGATACAACACTCTAGTTTAGTCAACATTACCCATAGGTAATCATAAATGCATCTCTCAGTATACCAACACTAGATTTTAAAGCAGCCCTACATTTTATTTCTTTCCATGTTATATTCAAATATCTGAAGTAAGCCTTATACACGGAAATATAGGCCTGCAGCTGTGATAAAACCAACCAAGCAGACCGGGCTGTGCTCACCAGTGGGCAGTCTTCCTGCACCCACGGGAGATACAGACACCATTAGATGCCAGGTAGAAAGCCCATGATTTTTCCTTTAGCATCCTCTTCCTCCTAACAGCCTATACCACACAGGTACTTAGATCACACAATAAAGACTGGAACATTCCAGGCTTGGGACTCTATACCTCCTGTAATAAAAGCCCAAGCTGAGCTGTGCGACGACTCAAATGCACTTGTCACCAAGCTTGTTGACCTGAGGCTGACCACCCACAGGACCCACACTGCGGAAGGAAAGGAAGGACGCATATGCCGTGGCACCCGTGCCTGTTTCCCCCAAATAAGTAAGGGTAAAAATAAGAATCTAAGTTAAGGGGCCTTTTGTCTTCCAAAACCCTGGAGCTAAGCCCTGGGCCGCCTAGTTCAGTAATGTATTTTTCTTTCAGAGTTGGTTGCTGAAGACAGAAAGTGTAGCTAATGCCTCATCCCCAACAGCCAAGGCAATGAGTCCAGTTCAGGCCTGCTCAGTAAATAAGACACTGAAGTAAGCTAAGTGGCAGAGACGGGCGGATGCTCAAAGGGCAGAGAGTGAACCCAAGACCTTCTTCTCAAGCAGTTCAGGAGGACAGTAAAAGCAGTGAGTCACGGACACCTCAATGACTGGAATGCTGGTCCCCTCCAGAACTGAAGAAGGAAGCAACCAACCTCAATGGAATTCATACAGGTCTGTGGGCTTGAAATGGCCCCGGGATCCCTGTGCAGCGGTGCCTGAAGAACAGTCAAGACATGCTACTGCCGGCCTTTAATCTCAACACTCAGGAGGCAGAGACAGCAAAATGGCTGAGTTTGAGGCCACCCTGATCTACAGAGTGAGTTCCAGGACAGGCTCAAAAAGCTACAGAGAGGGGCTGGAAAGACAGCCCAGTGGTTGAGAGCACTAGTTGCTCTTCCAGAGGACCCGGGTTCAATTCCCAGCACCCATATGGCAGCTCACACCAGTCTGTAACTATAGTTCCAGGAGATCTGATGCCAATGCACATAAAGTTAAATGTTTTTTTCTTTTTAAAAAGCTACAGAGAAACCCTGTCTCAAAAAAAAAAAAAAAAAAAAAAAAAAAGCCATCCCTACAAGGCAGTTTTATAGGACCAAGGCTAAAAATGCGAAGGATTTCTTCACATGCCCAGCAAGTGCTGTACCTCTGAGCTACAAACCCGGTCCCTTTCTCTACCACAACAATGAGGAACTTAAGTGCATTTCAACCATGCAAAGGCCTGGAGCTTGCAGGGAAAGTCTTTTCTTCCTTAAGTACCTCTGCTCTCCAGGCAAAACACAAGCTTCAGTAGAGAAGGACAAGTAACAACACCAGCACAGGCAACACATGTATCATCTCAAAACACAACAAGCAAAGAAACAAACAAACCAAAAAAAAAAACCCAAAACAAACAAAACAAAAAACAAAGAGGAAAAGAAAAGGAACAACAAACACCTCCCTATTTCAATTAAAGTTTAAGTGTCCCACACCACTGCAGCCCTTTGAGCCCAGAGCTATCAAATGATATCAAAGTGAGTGATGACATGGGCTTACTCCAGAAGAAAGGAAGAAAACTGCGTGTTTGTTTTACCAACAGTTCTTCACCCAGAGCGCCCCTCCTCCTCGTGAAGCTGTGTCAGAGCTGAGACAAAAGGACTGTGTCACACACTCACACTGGCTTGCACTTGCTCTCGCTCTCTGGAGTGGAGCCACAAGATTACTAACAAACAGCTAATGGCCACCGTTCAAAAGCAATAATGGCATCATGACCTCATATCCCAGTTATCTATCAAATTGGAAAGAACTAAGTGTATGGCTTTCTCTCCCAAACAGAATGCGAAAGTAAATGGGAACATTCTGATTCACCTTCCTCATCATAAAAATTCCCAGGAGGACATGAACAATGTGTCAAACATTTATGGTCTAGGTGCAGGGCAAACTCAAGAGACAGCACTAGGGGGTGGTGGTGTTCAGGATCCCTGGTTTTGTTTTCATTGTAGATGTGGTGTTAACAGGCAATGGGGATGCACTGACAAGAAGACTATGAACCGCCAGCCCTGCAAGTCCAAGTTACCAGGGGAGGTCTAATGGGAACCCTACGCATTACAGCACAGCACAACACAACACAATGTGTCAGGCACGGTGGAGCTCACCTATAATCTTGGGCTACATAGTGAATTCTAAGCAAGCCTGGCCTAAAAAAAAAAAAAAAAAAAAGAACTCTGTCTCCAAAAAGCCAAACCAAATAAACAAAACCCCTGGTTCTTAAAGGTTTTGTACAGGCTGCCTGTACAAAACGTTGAGTGCCTGAGTAACAGCCTCACTCTGAGACAGCACAAGTGATTATCTCCTGTACACAGTAAGCTCGGAGCAGATGACCTCTGTGCCAATGGCAGAATCATTCAGTAGCAGGACTTCCCTCTCTGAGTCCTAGCACTCTAAGAAACCAGCAATGAGCTCTGAAGCCAGGGCTGATTCTGCCCATCTCTCAAACAGCTTTGTGTCACAACCAAGGGGCTAACTTCTGGAGCAGCCTTTCAGCACTGCCTTAGGCACATGCAGGTCAACTGACATTTAGCCTCTCTCCCTGGTCAGTGTAACCATTTCAGAGCCCAGCTCCTTAATGTGGAAAATGTGTAACAGTTTCCTATGAGATTGAAACAATCCATCCTACAGGTAAGATCTTTAAAATGGGAAATAAGCAATTCAAAATAGCTGCAGGAAGTCACTGAAACTGACCAGATTCACTAGGCCCCTCCCTGCCAGAGTAAGCAATAAAAACTGAGTGTCTCCTTCTCAGTAGCCATGGGACAAGAAAAGGCTCAGAGGAGAGGCGCTGTAGACTCTGAGACCAGACCAGCTGCCTGCAAGAGGTTTAGAGCAGTGTCCGCCTGCAGGCTGTCCAGGGTGCTCCAGGTTTTCCAGCTTGTGTGAACTGTGACAGGCTGGAGTGGGACCTGGTGGTACAGCTGTCTTTGAGTCAAGTCTGCTCCTGTAAGTAACCCCTCACCCATATTCCTGTAAGTAACTCGAATAAAACCTCCTGGCTCACGGAGCTGGACTTTGGTCTGTCGTGGGCTCCCTATCTGTGCATTTCCTCAGGAAAAGTTGTCACATAGTAACATTCCCTCACTTTGAGCACTGAGGGCAGACTTGATCACTATCCACAGGTTACATAAAGAGTCTTTATAGTTCTTCCCATAAATCACGTTTTCACTTTCTTCCTCTAAGAAATCAAAGAGTAGCACTTGGGTAGGGAAAAAAAAAAGCAGGGAAGCCACAAAAATCTAGACTAGGGCTCTGAGGAAAGAATATCAAAACTTGAGACACAGGCAGCACTCAAAATATTAAGCTTTAGTTTCCCCACTTGGAGTCCATATACTCTTAGACAACACTCACCCTGTAAAGAAAAGCGATAACCAAAAGGGTGAGCTGCTCCAGCCAACTGCGTACATCACCGTGTGCTAGGTCACTGCACGGCCCAGTAAGCTCCAAACAGCGAAGAGGCTCACTTCTAATCTGTATCCATCTTTTACGCAATTAGACTTTAATTCTCAGTAATTGCTCAAGTTCCTCTAAAGAAAGCCAAAATCTAACGTGTATAAGGGCAAGTTAAACACTGTTATGTGGAACTCCATTAGTTTTTTTCTCAGAAATGAAAGGCAATGAACTCTTCAGTGAGTTTGGGCATATACTCACCCTCTCCCTAAGCAGCTTCTAATCTAGGGCCCCATGACAAGAGGCAGAGTCTTCTGGCTATGCACAGCAAGACTAGAGGAATGCTTTTACATAAATTATTCACGTTCAGGATTTAAAAACATTCCTTGTGGGTTTTTTTAAAATACAACTTCACAAGGTAAAGCCATCACTCATGATCCCTTCCGACTTTGCCTGTGTCAATAAACAGACAGACATCACACAAAGGCAGTTAAGGAGCACACACCACACCACTCTCCTATGCCACATTTAGTAATCGCTCGGCATCTACTACGGCAAGCTGTCCAATTAAACCTGGTGATGGATGTTAAAGTGTGCACTGAGGAAAGAGAAAGCACAGCGTCTTTGTGTGTTACCAGGGTGAGGAAAGGCAGCCAAGCACGAGAGGCAACCACATCAGCACTCACCTTAAGGATGTCCCCCCTTTTGAAGCTCAACTCATCGTCAGCAGTAGCTTTGAAGTCATATTTGGCGATGGCTTCCATTCTGAGCGCCGCTCAGTGCTCAGCAGCCTGAAGCAGGGGGGAAGGGAATCTTCCCTGCTGAAGAGCTCTGGGTTCAGCCTTTCCGATTCTGGGGCTATTCTTGCACACTGGGACACACAATGCCACCCTGAATCAGAAGAGCGATGATTAAGAGAAGTGGCCAGATCGAAGGCAGCCCCGCCCTGCCAATTGGCCTCCCAGCCCCCACGCCCCCTGGCTCCGCTGGGCTCAGCCCCCTCCTCTTCCCTTCCAGGCAACAGCTCCCTTCTTCCTCTTTTCAGCCTCAGCCCCAGGCGACTGACAGGCCCAGCGGCCAATAGCGGCAGCTGCTTAAGCTATTCCAGAATACACTTCCTCTTCCTTCCCGCAGGGTGTAAGCTCCTGAGCCGGCGTCAGTCTCAGCCTTTTCCCTAACACCCCTTCACACAACTCCCGCACCCAAGGCAGGCCGGGCAAAGCAAGGCTCCGGAGGTGCTTACACGGGCCCCCCTCCCTTTCTGCGCCACCCGCTGGTGTCCTGAGGACCAGGACACTCCCATTCTCCGTCAGAGCCATGCAGGACTTGGGTATTAAGAGGCTCTACTCTACTGAAACTAAACCTTGACCTGTTCTCAAAAGGAGGTGAGAGAACGAGCCTAGAATACTTCTTACCCACCAACAGCGATACTAGCCCTAGCATCGTCCACACCGGCCTGTCACTTGGTCACTAGAGGACTCAAGGAATCTGCTCTTGCACAAGATACCACAGACTCTAGTCCTTGAAATAGGCGATCCAGGTTTAACATTCAGGAATAGCCTCTACTTTACTTTTGTTTGTTTGTTTTGCCAGACAGGAGGTTTCTTTGTAGCTTTGGAGCTCTACTTTACTTCTAAACAGCACAAGAGCAGAGTTGAAGTTCTAATTTATACTTAAAAGTAATCCCTTTCTCCGGGCAGTGGCAGCGCAAATCTTTAATCCCAGCACTGGGGAGGCAGAGGCAGGGGGATATCTGTGAGTTCAAGGCCAGCCTGGTCTACAGAGCAAGTTCCAGGACAGGCTGCAAAGCTACAGAGACCCTGTCTAAAAAACAAACAAGTATCCCTTTCAGCAAATCTGAGCCATCAAGTTATATCTGGGGCAGTGGGAGGAAGGGTTTCACACCAGAGTTATGGCTGGCCTGACACCCATATATACACCAGTCTGGCCAAGAATTTGAGGTGATCCGCCTGATTGGTCCCCAGAGTGCAGAGACGCACATTCCCCACCTCAAATGTCTTCTCTGGGGACAGGTTAAGTACAGGCTGGTACCAGATGGTCCGACCCCAGTCTCATCCAGTTCCTACTCTGCTTTCCTCCGTCAGGAGAACCCTGCAGTGAGTGAGCAGCCTTCTGTCGGTGGACGATTTCTCCATGTGAAGTCCTAGGTCAGAACTTCCCCACGGTGCATCCACTGACAGTGACCAGGACGGACGGTGTGGCCACGATCAGGGGTGTCATCTTGATCTCCGCATACTTAAGGGAGGATAAACCCCTACTCCAGTTTGCAGTCACAGTTTACATACAAACTAGACAAACACAAACAAGAGCCCTGGCAGAAGGGAGAGGATTGTTGATAGTGGCACCGTTCTTGGCTAGTTACCACCCAGCAGCTCACTTTGAGGGGCACGAGTGATTATTACTCTTGTTCTAAAGTTAACATTTGGAGCATTAATCAAGCATTCGGCAGCAAATGGGCTACGCAGCAGACCGGCTGGAGATGTAGTGCTACCAGGGGAGAGATCTCCCGAGGGACGTCCTCAGCCAAGTCTGAAGGCCACCGCCCTAGCAAACCACACTGCTGCTTGTTCTTCACAGCCATACCTTTGTGTGTCTATGTGGTGCTGACTCTCAGGAGAAGAAGAGGAAGAAGAAAAAGTCTGAGCAAATATAAAAGTTTTAAAAATCAAAGGTTAGCCCTAGTATCCTTAAATTCTCAATATAGTCTCTGTAGTTATTTTTGATAGATTAAACTATGTCTACAATTTTTAAGTATGTGTGTGTGTTTTGACTGCAGGTACATCTGTGTATCACATACATGCCTGGTGCCCAAGGAGACCAGAAAAGGTAGTTTGAGAGCTGCCCCGTGTGTGAGTACTGAGATTCAAAAACAGGTTCCCAGAAGAGGAATAAATGCTTTACCTTTTAGCTATCTTTCCAGCCCTGACACCAACTCATTGCTTTGATTTGCATTTATGTTTTGTTTTGTTGTTTAACTTCCAGTGACTTGTCAGGCTCTATTCAAGATGCCTCTCTCTCTCTCTCTCTCTCTCTCTCTCTCTCTCTCTCTCTCTCTCTCTCTGATTGCTCAGTCTATCTTAGAAGGTAGCTATTATCCCATTTTTTGGTCAGAAAACTGCATCTCGTTTAAAAGGCTTGCCCGGTATTATAGGTGTAACTGATAGGATCATTACTTGAATGAATGGCATTTCTCCTGCCTCTCCAGACCATGAAGACTCAACAGTAAGCTATGCTGGCTGGCCTAGTGCCACGGAGAGGGAGAGAGAATTTAGAGAAAGAGAATAGAATTTTATCAAATCCTTTAGGCTGCATTTTCAGATACAATTCCCCTATCACTTCAACAATTACAACTGTATTTTCCACTTTACTGCGTGTGATGGGCTCTCGAGATGTGTGCTAACCACTTAGAGCCGCTCTCATTAGGAATGCTAATGTGCCCAGCCACTTCATTTCTTTAGAAGAGCGGTGTCAGCTCTGGTAGGAGCTAGAGAGACAGCACAGTGAGAAAGCATGGGCTTAGCACACTTGATTGAACTCTGGCTCAATCACCAGGCAGTGTGTGTGCACGCAGATGTGCGCACACGTAAATTGGGTACCCGTGTTTGTCTTTAGGTTTCTTTCCTTTAATAGTGTTGTGTATAGCAGTGTATGGTGTTGTTGCTATCTTTAATGGAAGGTTGGGATTCCTTGGTTATGGATAACCTAATCTAATCTCTTCAGGTTTTCTAAGTCAAATGCTAATTTTATTTGCCACAGACATAAAGTATTGATTTGATTTTCTCACATTTATCTATCCGTGTGTTTGTGTGTGCATGTGGGCGTTGGTTCTCTCCTTCCATCCAGTAGGTTCCAGGGACAGGACTCAGGTCAGCAGGCTTGGGGGCCAGCATTTATCTGCTGAGCCCTCTCAATGGCTTCTGGTGTGATGTTCTGTTAAGTGATTATTTGAACAGTTTCAACTTTTACAAGTGTTAGACATTTGTGTTTTGTTTTTTTTTTTAAGATAAAGTCTTACTATGGCTTGTGCTAGTCCTGACTCAGGGTTGTCTCCCTGCCTTAGCCTCTCAGGTGCGAGGATTACAGGTCTGAACCAGAGTGCTAAAAAGGCTCAGTCTACTCAGGAGCCTGGTGCAGACGCCTTGAGTGCAGCTGCAGGAAAGCAGGGCCTGAGAGCTACCTCACCATTTGTGTCTGGAGACAGACAGCACCTCTCGTAGCCCAGGCTGGCTTCCAACTCTATGTAGCAGAGGATGACCTAAACTGATCTGTTTTCACCTACCAAGTGCTGGGATTACAGGCATGCACCACCACACCCAGTTAGTGTAGTACAGGGATCCAATCTGGGCTCCTGTATGCTTGGCAAACACACTATGGGCCAAGCCTCAGCCCTAGCCTGACCTTGTACTTTTTGTTTTTTGAGACAGGGTTTCTCCGTGTAGCCTTGACTGTCCTGGAACTCACTCCTAGATCAGACTGGCCTCAAACTCACAGAGATCTGCCTGCCTCTGCGTCCCGGTGCTGGGACTAAAGGTGTGTGCCACCATGACCCGGCCTGACCTTGTACTTTCTTTGCTGTTCAGTTGTGTTTGCAGGTGTCTCAAATTCTGACCCACTTAAAGTGCATGTCCTAGACATGTATTTCTGAGTTTTATTGGTTCCTGCATGAGGTCCTCCTAATGGGGAATTTATTCTTTTAATTCAGGTATTTGTATGTAAACTTACAAAGGTTGTCTATTTTAAATCAGCCCATTTGGGGACTAATTTATTATGGGGCCAGCTTGACAAACTTTTCCTGGAGAAGACACAGCATACAAATCTACTCGCCCCAGATAGGGACCAAAGTATGGAAGCCACCGAAGTCCAACTTGGTGAACCAATGAGTTTTACTGGAGTGAGTTACAGGAATATGGGTGAGGGGTTACTCACAGGAGCAGACATGACTCAAAGACAGCTGCACCACCATATCCCATTCCAGCCTGGGTGACAAAGCTGGGAGCCTGGAGCCCACTGCATAGCCTGCAGGCAGCTAAACAGGTTGGAGAGGGTCTGACCTTCCGGCAGCTCCACTGGTTTCTGCTTCTTCCCAGCAGCTGGTCTGGTCTAAAGAGTCTTCTTTGCAACATCTTAGTCCAAAATGGACTCAGATTTCATTGCTCCTCTGGCAGGGAGAGGCCTAGTGAATCTCTTCAGTTTCAGGGACTTCTGCAGCTATTTTGAGTTGTCTGCCTTCCTACTAAAAGTGCTTCCCTGTAGGATGGACTCTTTCAAATGATTCAATCTCGCAGGCAACATTTACATTACACAACTCTGCTGAGTTCTGCCATAGCCTAATTTTAAAAAGATACCCCTACCAAGTACAGTAGCATAAGACTAAAACTCTAGCACTGGGCTAAGGCTGAAGCAGAACAATTCAGTTTGAAGTGGGGGCTATACACATTGGCGCATACCTTTAATCCCAGCAATTGGGAAGCAGAGGCAGGAGTATGTCTGTGAGTTTGAGGCCAGCCTGGTCTGCATAGAGAGGGCCAGAGCAGCCAGGCCTACAGAATCCCTGCCTCAAAATAAATACATATGTATGTATGTATGTAAAATCAAGACCTTGTCCCAAAAAAGTACTTGGATAAAGAATTGTTTCTAGTGAATTTATTGTCAGGTAATGTTTATTCATACAAATTTTAAGAATCACTGCTAAGATCTGACTGGAGTCTTAAGCAAATTTTGAAATTTGCATTCCAGAAAATGTACCATGTCTGAACAAAATACAAATGATACGTATTTAACTTGGCACAACTCTGGGGAAAACCAGCTTTGACAAACACAAAGCAACACATCTCAATCATCACTGGCCAGAGGGTAGAGCTCCTCAGTAGGTTCTAACTTCTGTCCAAGAGTATGGCAGCCCTGTCCTGCAGCCACCTGTCCCAAGTCTAAGGCTTCATAACGCTACAGAACAAGAGCTGCTGCACATGACCTAATGGGAATCACTGAAGAGACCTCAGGGATCCAATAAGCCACCACTTAAAACCCAACAATTGAGCTAGAGAGATGGGCTAAAGACCTAATAGCTCAGGCTGCTAAGAGCACTGACTGCTCTTCCAGAGGACCTGGGTTCAATCCCCAGCACCCACATGGCAGCTCACAACCCTCTGTAACTCCAGTTCTAGGGTCCTCTATTAGCCTCTGAGGACACCAAGCACACACACACACACACACACACACACACACAGACAAAATACACTCACCCACATAAAATTAAAATAAATCATTTTGAAAAGCCTAGTAAGGGCTAAATCAGTAGTTAGAAGGGGTAGGCTTTAATTTACAAATTTCTGAAGTTGTTCCCTCAGATTTTTCAAACTATCTTAATTCATAAATTCCATAGGTGATTTTCATTTGACGATTGCCAACTATAATAAAATCCCAAAGATGAGTCTTTTAGCCCCCAAACTGTCTCAATCTTCCTTACTAACAGTGAAAAGACACAAAGGGAGAAAGGAGGAAAATACTAGACACAAAAGCATGATCTGTAAGAAAACACTAAAATACAAATGCGACAAGCAAACAGGCAAAATCCACTTGTGACCTGATGGCACTATGGACTACTTAGGAATGACTTTGAGTCTCCGAGTTCCCAGGGGAAAACTTAAGCAGCCACCACCCCCCCATGACGCCCTAGCAGCCCTGATGGCTGGCTGAAGAATACCGTGGACGTTTAAGTGAGGAATGAAAACGGGGAAAAGGAAAAGGAATCTTGGAACGACGGAGAAAATTAACAGTGCCAAAACGGGCAGGAACTTCGAAAATTATAGCCGAGGAACAGCAAGAAGGGGAAGTAGATTATTTTTAAAAAGGGGGTGGAGGGGCCAATGACTAGCGTTACAAATGGAGTGGAAAGGAGACGAAGAAGGCAAAAACTGGAGAACAAAGTGAAAGAGGGTGCGGAAGTCAGAATAAAGCCTATTTCTCTAGCCTCTTCTGAGTGTCAACGGAACCAGAAGATGGACCTTGAGTGCGCTTCGGCTCCTCTGCAAACTGCACTGCTATAGCACTTGAAGACAGGCTAAAAAAAAAAATCACTTTCTAAACAAACTCTAGCTCAAACGGAGCGCTGCAAACGGACATGAACCAGCGGGGCTCTCGCTGAAATCCTTCCTCCCAGCGTTCCCATCAGCTGCTGCTCCTGCTTTTTCCCCAACAAGTATTTTTTCAAGTAGCTCTAAAAAAGACGCGCCCAGCTCTGACAAAGACCCGTCGACGGGTCCGGGTAACAAGCATTCAAGCACACGGTGGATCCCCGCACACAATTCGGCCGCAAGATGCCAAAAGATGGTGACGTGGTTGCTTTGCAGGTCAAAGGAGCATCAATCACCACGTTAGCGAGCCGGCACCGAATCCCCCGCCTCGCGGGCTCAGTCAGCCTGACTCAGAACAGCACCCTGCGCCTCTCGGCTGCTCCGGGCTCCCTCTGCGCCAAGGCGGACGGCCGCGGCACAAGACCTCCCCGACCAGCCGGGTCTCTGCCCCAAGCGGGAGGAAGACCGGCACCAGGAAGGAAGCGCCCCAAAAGGGGAAACGAGGAGACGGCAGCGCAGCAACTGCGCTCGGGTCCGAGCCATCCCCGGCCCACCAGTGGCCCACTCCGGCAAGCCCAGCAGATCGGGCCCGGGCAGCCCGCCGCGGCAAGCCCCGGAACGACGGAGCTCCCGCTCTCCTCCCGCCCGCTCCCTTGCACTCACCGTGGCGCAGCCGTCCGCTCCGTTGTCCAGCCCGGCCCGCCCTGCGCTGCCGCCCGCGGCCGCCAACCCCGCTGCTGCTCCCCGACTGCGGCTCCCGCTGCCCTGGCCACCGTCTCCGCCTCAGCCGCGCTCGCTCGCTCTCGCCGCCGCCGCCGCCCGATCGCTGAAGCAGCAGCAGCAGCCTGGCTTCCGCTCCTAGACAGGGTCCCGCGAGAACTTCCCCACGCGGCCCCGCCCCGCCGCGCCCCGCCCCCGCGAGACTTCCCCCGGCGGAAAAGGCCCAGAGCGCAGGCGCTCTCCTCTGCTCGGCCCGGCAGGTAGCCCAGCGGGTGCCTGCGCGCAAGCGCCAGCCCACCCCGCAGCAGGTGGCACGGGCTGGGCTCCGCCCCTGGGTCGCTGTAACCCTCTGGGTGCCGGAGCTGGTGAATTATAGGTCTGCCCTGGAGGAATAACCCTTTCCACGCTCAGATCACGTTCCTTTCCCGTTCTACCAAACCAAGGCCAAAAGGCAGAAGGAAGAGCGGTGTCAAGATGGCTCAATCCGAGTAGAGGACCAGGCATAGAACTGTTTGGGAATTTGGTTCATAAGATGAATTGTTTGGTCTGTTGATTAACTGAGCCACATACCTAATGTAGGTAAGCACTGTGTTGGTAAAGAAGATAAAACCACGAAGAGATCCTGGCCTTCAAGCAGTTCAGTCGAGAGTAGCAACAGAGAGTAAAACGAGCGATGTCTTGGGCTGGAGAAAAATCTCGGAGGTTGAAAGAACTTGCTGCTCTTCCAGAGGACCTGAGTTCCGTACCCAGCACCCACATCAGAAGACTAACAAGTGTCTGTAACTCCAGTTCCAAGGGATTTAGTGCCTCTGGCCTCCGTCCAACACCGGCATTCACCTGCACACACCCTCACGCAGACACACACCCACACACCTGTAACATAATTTAAAATAGTACAAATAGCCCAGCGTGGTGGCGCACGCCTTTAATCCCAGCACTCTGGAGCAGAGACAGGCAGATCTCTGTGAGTTCAAGGCCCGTTTGGTCTACAAAACGAGTTCCAGGATAGCCAGAGCTGTTACACAGAAAAACCCTGTCTTGAAAAAAAAAAAAAAACAATTAAAATAGTAATAATAATAATTTTCTAAGCACTAAAATTAATAATGACAGTACTGTTGTAGCTCTTTGGGGGAAATGCTGAGGAAGCCAAAAAGATGGAGGAAGGCTTGCCCTGTTCCTCTCTGCCCATGCATAAAACTTTACAAAGGAGGTGATGCAAAGCGAGTATTGGAGGGTGAGGAGGAGTTCGGCAGCCCAGGAGCCGGGGCGAGAGCATAGCCAGCAAGAGGAAGGGCACATAAGAACAGAGCAATGGAGGCGTGGGAAAGCCGTGTTCCATGCAATGCAAAGTACATAGCCGCCTATTTGGGGGCTGCTGAGTGTGGGGGAGTGGTGAGTAGGGCTTGGAGAAGTGACTCTCAGTTCCAATTACAGAAGAGCACAGAACACATCTAATGCTAATGTGTTGTCTAGAAGCCAACAAAATAGCGTTGGGAACACCCAAGCCTCTGGTACAGTGGAGGAGATGGGTCCGCTGAAATAAGGACAGAGAACTGGTCTTTGGCCAAGTGTTTGCTGAACATCCTTTGCAGCAAAAGTGCCTTTCAGAGCAAAAGGTGAAGCCGATGAAGCCTCTGCTTCGGGCGGTTTGCCGTCTACACAGAGTTAGTTCACCTGAAAGAGAAAAACTCGGCCCTAAGTGCCACGGAACTGCACGCCAGAATGGCCAGTTGCAGAGAGGGAGCCATTATCTGGTGTGTAGTCGTGGTCAGAATCCACCAGTGTTTCACAGGGGGGTGGGGGAGGGAGACCAGACACTCCAGGGTTTGGAGGCGGGGAATGAGTAACGCAAGGTAGAGGGAGCCGTCAGAAAGACGAAGTTCAGTACGCAATGTGACAGCAGAAGGGTGATCGAATCCAACACTATTTCACAGGGTGAGGTGACGGGGTGGGGGAGGGGTAAGGGATAAGAGGGAGCATTGGGATGTGCATCTTAGGTTTCAGTGTCAGGTGACCTCCACCGGAAGGTTTTGGAGTAGCTATCTAACGGGAGGTGACGATAACAAGAGAATCGAGGGGCTTATTTCCTGTACGCCAAAGTCGAAGGGCCTCCACAGGGCATCTAATATCTTCATTTCATTCATAGATACAGAGAATGAGAAGGCAGATGTGGTGCCCTGACACCCGTTAGCCCTGCACTAGGAGGTCTGAGGCAAGAGGATCAGGATTTTCTAAGCCACAGAGGTTAAGAGCATTTGCAGAACCCCCAGGCTTGGTTCCCAGCACCTACATGGCACTAACAACCAACTATGACTTCATTACTAGAAAATCCAAGACCATTTTCTGGCACCAGGCACACACATTGTACACATGCATACGTGTAAGCAAACCACTCATACATATAAAATTAAAAAAAATTAATTTAAAGGGGTTTGGGGTCTAGACAGATTTTTGGCAAGATCCTGTCTCAAAAAATTTAAGGAAGCCAGGCGGTGGTGGCGCACGCCTTTAATCCTAGCACTTGGGAGGCAGAGGCAGGCGGATCTCTGTGAGTTCAAGACCAGCCTGGTCTACAAGAGCTAGTTCCAGGACAGGCTCCAAAACCACAGAGAAACCCTGTCTCGAAAAACCAAAAAAAAAAAAAAAATTAAGGAAGAGATATTAATAAGAAATCAAAAAACAGGACTGGAGAGATAAGTCAGCAGTTAAGAGGACTGGCTGCTCTTGCAGAGGTCCTGAGTTCAATTCCCAGCAACCACATGGTGGCTCACAACTATCTATAGTGGGATCTGATGCCCTCTTCTGGCATAAAGGCATGCATGCAGATAGAACACTCAAAAACCTAAAATAAATAAATCTTAAAAGAAAAAAAGAGAGAAAGAAATCCAAAAATAAAGCCTGGCAGTGGTGGCACATGCCTTTAATCCCAGCACTCAGGAGGCAGAGGCAGAGGCAGGCAGATCTCTGAGTTCAAGTCCAGCCTGATTTACAGAGTGAGTTCCAGGACAGCCAGGACAACATGGAGAAAACCTGTACCAAAATAAATAAACAAGTCTGAAGAAACGGCTCAGCATACTGAGTAGGAATGCATACTGCTCCTGTAGAGAACCTGAGTTTGACTCCCACTATCCACAGCAGACAGCTCACAACCACCAGTAATTCCAGCTCTGGGAAGATCCCATGCCTCTGATATCTGAAAGCATTTGTACTCACACACACTCACATACATACACACATGCACGCACACACACTTAACTAAATTTAATTTTAAAAAAGGGGACTGGAGTGATGACTGAAAGGTTAAGAGTACTTTTTGCTCTTTCAGAGGACCTGGGTTCAATTCCCAGCACTTACATAGTGGTTCTCAGTTCCCCAGCTCCAGTTCTGCAGGATCTGACACCTTCTTTTGGGCTCTTTGGACACCACACATGCACAAATTACATAGACATACATGCAGGCAAAACACCTATCCACATAAAATAAAAGACTAATAAGGGGCTGGAGATGGCTCAGTGGTCAAGAGCCCTCATTCAGTTCCCAGCATCCCCATGGCAGATTACAACTGTCTGTAACTCCAGTTCCAGGAGACCCAACACCATCGCATAGATATACATGCAGGCAAAACGTCAATGCACATGAAATAAAAATTTTCATAAAAGAATGATAGTAGTAGGGGCTGGAGAGGTGGCTCAGCGGTTAAGAGCACTGGCTGCTCTTCCAGAGGTCCTGAGTTCAATTCCCAGCAACCACATGGTGGCTCACAACCATCTGTACTGAGATCTGGCGCCCTCCTCTGGCATGTGGGCATACATGGAGGCAGAATGTTGTATATATAATAAATAAATAAATCTTTAAAAAAAAAAAAAAAGAATGATAGTAGTAGTACTAATACTAAATAGCCAGATGTGGTGGTGCACACCTATTATCCCAACACTCAGGTAGTAGTGTTGAGAGAATCAGGAGTTCAAGGCCATCCTCAGCCACAGGAGCAGACAAAGCCTGCCTGGTCAACCTAAGACCTTCTCCCAAACAGATGAACAAGAAAGCGTCAGGGGTCCTCTCTGGACTTAAGCCTCAGCTCCTCTTTTGTCTTGCCAAATGTTTGCAATGTATGGTGGGCTCCTAAAAAAGGATATAGAGAGGAACAAAGTATCTCAGTAGGGGTGGGTGGCTCAGGGAAGGTGGAAGGGGTGTCTGAGGAAGTGACGCTGAGCTGTCTTTTGAATGAAGAATGCCACCCTCCAGGACATACGGATAGAAATAGCCAGACTGCCCTTGTCCCTTTCTGCATCTTTCTGCAGTCGGCAGGATTTTCCTGCCTGGAGTTCGACACTGAAAGTAGAAGACAGACTTCTAAGAATGTGACACAGGCTGGGTCGTCGGTGGCTTTGGAGCACACAGCAGGGAACTTAACTTCTTCCAGAGCCAAGGAAGACAGGAAGTGAGGTTCAGGTTGGGACTCTGGTTAGCCTGAGAAGAAGGGAGACGTCTAAGTTAAGAAGCATGCAGTTCGGGGCTGAGACAGTTGGAGAAGCTCAGGCAACTCCATCCTGAAGCAGGGCTGGGCCACAGTTTGATTTTCATCTTCAAACTGCTTTATCGCTGCGACTGCAGAATGGAAAATCTATTAGAACTAAGATGGCTATCATCTACAGGATAATGTTTCGAGTCTGTTGCAAGGCTCTTAAAGATCAGCTACTGACTGTGAGCCCTCAGTTCACAGCCAGAGCCAGCTCCTTTAATACTGAATCACATGTGGTTTCCGGAAGGTGCCATTATCTTTTGAACGTCCATATCTTTGCTAATGCAATTTCCCCTATTCGGTTGGCCTTTCCCCCATGTTAAGGTCTTCAAGTTAGTGTTTTCTTCAAAATTCCTGTTACACCCCGGTGGGGTTGTTCACCCCTGTAAATCCAGCACAGGAGGATGGGAGTTCAGGTTATTCTCCACTACAATGTAACAAGTTTAAGGCCAGCCTGAGCTCCTTCCATCTGTCCATCCGTCAGGCCCTTCCTCAGAAGTAAAAGGAGGAGAAAGCTGGCAGGATGGTTAAGAGGGCTTACTGCTCTCATAAAGGACCAGAGTTTGGTTCCCAGCACCCGCACAGCCTCCTGCAACTCTAGCTTTGTGGGATGTGAAGTCC